CCGCACCCGGGATTCGAACCAGCAAACCCCAGGCTGCCGAGAAGTGGAATGTGCGAACTTAACCGCTGCGCCACCGGGCAAGCCCCCACATTCTTGCCAAAATTTTTTTCTTCTTCCTTCTCCTTCTTCCTTCCCCTTCTTCTTCCTTCTCCTTCATTCTAATAATAGCAATTCTAATAATTGATGTTAAGTGGTATCTCATGGTGATTTTGATTTGCAGTTCCCTAATGATTAGTGATGCTGAACATCTTTTCATGTGCTTATTGGCCATCTATATATCTTTGGGAAAATGTCTATCCAAGTCCTTTGCTCATTTCTTTCTTTCTTTTTTTTTTTTTAAAGGTTGGCACCTGAGCTAACAACTGTTGCCAATCTTTTTTTTTTTTTTTGGCTTTATCTCCCCAAATCCCCCCGGTACATAGTTGTATATCTTAGTTGCAGGTCCTTCTAGTTGTGGCATGGGGGATGCCACCTCAGCATGGCCTGAGGAGCGGTGCCACGTCCACGCCCAGGATCTGAACCAGCGAAACCCTGGGCCGCCACAGCAGAGCGTGCGAATTTAACCACTTGGCCACGGGGCCGGCCCCCTTTGCTCATTTCTTAATTGGTTTGTTTGCTTTTTTCGTGTTGAGTTGTAGACCGTATTTTTTATAAGTTTTCTTAGATTGCATTCTTCAGAAGCAAAACCTGAAATGGGGATCTTGTGCAAGTGATTTATTGAAGGAATGTTCTCAGGATAAGCTGAATGCTGGAATCAGGATAGGGCAAAGGGAAAAAACCATGTAAGTGGTCTATGCTGGAGATTAGGTTTTTTGTTTTTGGGGTTTTTTTTTGAGGAAGATTAGCCCTGAGCTAACATCTGCTGCCAATTCCCCTCTTTTTACTGAGGAAGACTGGCCCTGAGCTCACATCCGTGCCCATCTTCCTCTACTTTATATGTGGGACACCTACCACAGCGTGGCTTGCCAAGCAGTGCCGTGGCTTGCCAAACAGTGCCATGCCTGCACCAGGGATCCAAACCAGTGAACCCCGGGCCGCTGAAGTGGAATGTGCGAACTTAACCGCTGCTCCACCCAGCTCGCCCCTGGAGATTAGTTTTAGCCTCATCCCACAGGGGGCTCTAGAGTATGAATTGTCCTGCAGAGTTGGTCCTGCTTTGAAGTAGGGGAATCAGCCTTGTGTGCCCCTGGACCATAGTATTGGCTATGGGCTGTCCAGGTATGGAGGTAATCTCCTGGGCAAGGGCAACACTCTGGTGATAGGGGGTCTGTGGGACATTGGCACCTGACACTCTCAGCACCTGGAGAGGGGCCCACTTCCAGCACCAATCCAGAAAGGGAATCTGGGCAGGGCAGCAACGGTGACTACTAAGTCCACCCCTTGAACTGCTCATATCCACCTATTTCTCACATTAAGTTCACTCCATTCAGACACAGATTATTCAGTATTCTGATTGGTCACAGTATCTGGGAGAACGTCCAAGAGATGGGCAGAGGGATGAACTATAGCCCACCCTGCTGCAGTAGCCCTCAAGGCCACAATCAATACCCAACATCTCCCTTTTACACCACCCACTCTAGATTTCTCTTCTTCATGGCTAGCACTTTGGCTCTTCTAGATGGTTCACCCCTGAGGGTCTGAGCTCCTTGGAGTCTGCCCTCATCAGGCCGTGTTGCCATACTTGCCTATTTACAGTTACTGGTTATGGGAGTAGCAAGAGATGCCCCACCCCTCCAAATGCCTGAGTGCCCAAAATATTCCTGCCTGCCTCCATCATGTGGCTGGTAGCCCTACATACTCACAATAATGAGTGTCAGTTACCCCAGCCATTGTGGTCACTCCTTTCTGTGCTTACTGGTCTACTGGCACAAGTTGTCCCAAGTGACCAGGTAGCAGATGTAGCTTCAACTTTACTGTGTCTCCTGGTAGAAGTGTCCTGTTTAATAGCCAGGACCTATAGGTTCACAGCACTTAATGTTGCAGAACAGGAAGCACAAATTCCTCAAGTGGGTCACTGGGTATTCTACCTATTAGGGACAAAGTCTTGTAAAATGGTTATTTATTGATACAGAGTATACACTGCTTCCTGGGGACAGCACTCCATCCTCTCATGATGTCATCTTCAAGTTGGAGCCTCAGCTGAGTCTTCATAGGCTAGGCCATCCCTCTAGCAAACCAGCGACTTCTGGATGGTGCAGCATGTGATAGGATGGTAGGTCCCTGGTCCTGTGCCCATTATCATATCTCCTTTGCCTTAGAGCAGGTCCTTTGGTGCCAGGCAGTTATGTGGGATTCCATGTCAGCAAACCAGATATTTAAGCCTTTGATAGTGGTGCTGGCTGAAGTATTGCAGGCAGAAAAGGCAAACCCACACCCAGATACATGGCAATCATGGTGAGCATGTGTTATTGCTTTTTTAGAACAGAGGGGATCCAATGTAATCATCTTGCCACCAAGGGGCTGGTTGGCTCCTCTGGGGGGCTCAACCTTGGTCATTGATGCTGACAGGTTAGACATTTGGCAGTTGCAGTAGCTGGATCAGCCTTGGTTACAAGGAGCCTCTGCTGTAGGGCTCAGGCATAGCCTCCACCCTGCCACCATGGCTACTTTGTTCATGAGACTATTGTGCCAGCATAGTGGTGGCAGAGCACAGATCCTGGCTGATGCCCATTGGCCGAGCCATTCTGTCCACTTGGTGGTTTGGAGCCTCTGTGGTGGATGCTTACTGGTGGACGTTAGCATGCAGTACAAAGATCTTCACCCTTTGTGCCAATTGCCATAGGTCCTTCCACATCCGTTTCTTGCTCAGACTTCTTTGTCCCTGAACTTCCAGATTGCTCCTTCCAGGCTCCTGACCAACCAGCTAAGCCATTTCCCGCTGCCCATGAGTCCAGGCCATGTCTCTCTCCACACAAAGCGAATGGCCATGTTCACCATCTGAAACTTTGTCTATTAGGATGATTTCCCCTCACCACTTTCTTTCAGGGTGACTGCTGAGTGGGGATACAGTGCAGCAGCAGGCCATTTTCAGCCCACAGCAACACTGAGACGACTTTCCTGTGAACCAAGCACATGCTTTTTCCTCCTCTGTCACCGTCTCACAGGGAATCCCCCTGAAACCCTAGGTGTGAGCTGAGGGAGAAATGTGAGAGCTACAGTGGTAGGAGTCTGGACCACTTCCCTCTGCACCTACATGAACCCAATCCTGAATCTATCACTTCCAGATTATGATGTATCTACCTGACTTTATGTCTTGATAGTCTGACAGAACCAAGTGATGGGCAGTTCTGGCCTCACAGTACTCTTGATGTTCTATAGGAACATTCATTTCTACCAGAGCCCAGTAACAAGGCAGATGTTACTTTTTGAGCTGCTTGGATCTGTGGGTTTGTAGTTTTCATCAAATTTGAAAAAAATTCAGCCATCATCTCTTCAAATAGTATTTCTGTCCTCCTCCCAACCCCACCTCCATTTTTAGGGACTCCAATTACACACATATTAGGCCTCTTGAAGTTGTCCTACAGCTCACTGGTCCCCTGTTCATTCTTTTCCAGGATCTTTTCTCTCCATGTTCCATTTAGTTTCTTTTTCCATGTCTAATATTTTACTATTCCATGTCCAATATTTTCCATGTTCACTAACATTTTCTTCTGCCGTGTCTAATCTGCTGTTATTCCCATCCAGTGTATTTTTCACCTTTGGAAGTTTGAGTTGGGTCTTTTTTATATCTTCTATGCCTCTACTTAACATGCTCAGTCATCTTCTACTCCTCTCTCCCTCCCTTCTTTCCTTCAGCAAGCCCTTACTGACCCCTCTTTGGGCCAGGCCTTGTTGCTAGGTGCAAGGGAAACAAGTGAATGAGACAGAATTGTGGAGTCTTGTCAGGAAAGCCTTTCGAGAAGAGTTAATGTCCAGGAGACCCTGAGGTCAGAGGTCACTATTATTCATAGACCCCATCCTTGACCCTTCTGTGGGCAAAGCCAAATAGGCCCCTGCTGGGAGGGGGGGCATGGGTTCCGCATTATTCTTCCACTGCCCAGCTTGGGCCTCAGCTTTCTATGGGTATAAAGGGAACGAGAAGCCCTGCCTGTTTGTCCCTGAACTTCCAGATTGCTCCTTCCAGGCTCCTGACCAACCAGCTAAGCCACTTCCCACTGCCCATGAGTTTTTTTGGCTCAGATGAGACAACAGGAGGCACCCTTTAGGGGAAGGTGCCGATGTAGTCTCTAGGCTAGCCAGGTCTCGTCAATGCCCCGGCCTAGACTCCTTCCCCGGTTCTGCGGAGAGGACCGGCACTTGTTCATCCAGAACCGGCAGCTCAGGCCCTGGCCACCACGCAGCTGCCCTGTCTGTGGAGCCTTATCAGGGTCCACAGGCCCCGCCATCCTAACCACACCCTGGCTGTCAGCCCGCCCCCAAACTCTGCCTGAGGCTCTGCCCGCCGCCGGGGGCTTCTGGACAGAGACCAGCACGGGGCGAGGCACGCGGGGGCGGGGTCCGCCTGCTGGAGGAGTGAGCGAGCGAGGCGGGCACTTGCGACTGACCCCGGCTCGGACAGCCCCCTGCCCGCGCAGGGCGTGGGACGGGACCGTTTAGTACGTCCTGCTGCGGATCCAGTGAATCTGCTGGCAGGCCTCCCCGAGCCTGTGCTGCGACAAAGAATGAGCGAACGAGCGGTTCCGGGTGAGGGGGCGGCGCTGGCACAGCAGACCCTGCCTGCTTCAGCGAGGAGGGCTGTCGGGCTCCACCAGTGCGCCGACGCTGCAACCTAGCCGACCCTCCGCCCCCGGCGGGGCAGCACCGAGGCGGGTCTCAGCAAGCGCGCGTGGCCACAGGCAGCGGCCCTGCCCGCGCAGGCCCCGCCCTTCCCGCAGACAGCCAATCGCAGGGCGCGTTGCTGGGCGGTGCGGCGCGGGACGGGCCTACGGGGCGGCGCGTTGTTGGGCTGCTGCGCCGCCGGCCGCACCCAGCTTGGGCTGCTGGGGCAGCGCTGAGGGCTGAGGGGGCGGGGAGGCCGGGCGGGCCGAGGCTGCGGGCCGGAGTGCGCGCGGAGGACAGGGGGCGGAGCCCGAGCCCGAGCCCGAGCCCGAGCCGGAGGCCACGGGCGGCGGCCGCACTCGGATCTAGGAGCCCGCGCGCTGCTTTCGATTCCCCCCTGAGGTGAGGCCCGCTCGCAGGGCAGCAGCGGAGCGGCCCCAGGGCTGCAGGCCGGGCCGCGGGGCCTGCGGCGGCGGCGCCCGAGCGGCGCGGGCGGCTGGGCGCGGCGGGGGCTCGCGCGGGGGGCGGGGGCCGCGCTGGGCGGAGGCGCTGGCGGAGCTCGGGTCCGGCCGGGGGGCCGCCGTGGGAGGGTCGGCTGCGTTCGGCCGTCGGCCGTGACCGGGCGCGGAGGACGACGCTCTGCAGACCGTTCGCCGCACGGGCTTCTCGTGCGACCGCCGGGGCAGCTCGTTTCTGGGCTGGGCGGTGGGCTTCGGGGGTCCGTGTGGAAAAGGAGGACCCGGCCCGGACGCTGGGTGCGCGCGGGGCCCACGGCCGCCCGGTCCGTGCCCGGGGCGCTGCCGGCGCGAGGGCTGTGCAGACGCTGACCGCCGCGGCGCCGGGCCCCGCCGGCCGGCTCTCGTGGGCAGAGCGCCCGCTCCTGCCGGAGGAGAAGAGCCTCGGGCGGTGGTAGTCGGGGGTCCTGGAACTTCTCTAGAGAAGGAGCTGTTGGCGTCTTCGCCCCCTCCCCCCGCCTTTTCTTTCTTTCTTTTTCGTTGTTTTCGGAGGTGTAAGGGCCCCTGCCTTTAACAGTTATTTTTGCTGTTGTAATTCGTGGCTCTGGGTATTTTGCGGGTGATTTGTGTTCACTTCAGGCATGCCTACCTTGAAATAAATATTTTGGTTAACCTGAAACTGCCGGCGGTGTGACCATATGCTTTTATGCTTAAACGACATACATCAATTGTCATGTCCCTAAGCACCAAAAACATAGCTGATAGCTGTGTGCAATGCTGATGAGTTATTACAGAGAGGTTTTTTTGCGTGTGAAAAATTGATTGAAATCTTAACAGGGGTAGGAGATAGGCTGCTGAAAGGTCCACTGTGTCTCGTTTGCAGAACGCCTCGAGAGAGGCCCCAGTGAAGACGAGCAGGGGGGAGGGAGAGGGGAGGGCCTGTCAGCCGGAGGGGGGATTGTGTGGGGGTGGGGTTGTGAAAAATCGGAGTCCTTAATTAATGGGCAAGTGCCAGCCACGTGTAAGTTATTTTTTTTAAGTCCAAAATCTTAATGTACCCCTTTGATTCTGACTATGGGGAAGACAAGAATAAGTAAAGTTGTTTTGTAAGGAAGTGGATGATTTTGGCGGTCAGAACTGTTTTGCAAAGTTTTGATGTGGTTTACAGCAGGACAGGTGGTCTGATTTGTTTTACGGCTTGTGTCTGTTTAGGTTTTAGTTACAGAGGCTCATGAAGGACATGAATCTAAATTCTACCCAGTCTCCAAAAGATGGGATAGTTTTTCTCCTAAAATATAATTTATGCAGCTGATTATTTTTCTCCTTTAACTCTGACGTTATCTAATGCTGATAAGGTTTGTTTGGTGCTCAGTTTTGTGTTAATTGATTTTACCATAAAAGCTGTTTCTTTAGATAATTGTTAGTTTTTAGTTAATTCTTTCAAGTAGTCCTTGTATTGAATCAGAAAAGTAAATACTGAAATGCTTTAAAAGATACAAGTCAAATATCTGACTATGTTAAAATTTTCTTGTCTCACAATTTTTAACAGTTTGAGTGTTAATTTTAAAAAGACATTTTTAGTATGTGAAACTTAGAGTTTAAATTGACATTTATTTTTACACATTTGATTTTTCTCTCACATGCACTACGCTCATCCAGCTTCAACAGATAGTAACTCGTAGCCGATCTTGCTTTATCTGAACCCCACAAACCCAGATGTCATATCATTTATTTTTTTAAAAAAATTTTTTCCTTTTTCTCCCCAAAGCCCCCCGGTACGTAGTTGTATATTCTTAGTTGTGGGTCCTTCTAGTTGTGGCATGTGGGACACTGCCTCAGCGTGGCTCCATGAGCGGTGCCATGTCTGCGCCCAGTGTTCAGACTGACGAAACACTGGGCCTCCTGCAGCGGAGCGTGCGAACCTAACCACTCGGCCACGGGGCCGGCCCCTGTCATGTCATTTTAACTGTTAAATATTCAGTATATATATCTACATGCATCTTTTAAAAAAGGTAAATTCAAATACCACTATCACAGAATTTCTCATTACCTTCAAATGTTCACACAGTATTAAAATAAGAATTTCTTGATTGCCTCATAATTTTTTTTTTTTGAGGAAGGTTAGCTCTGAGCTAATATCTGCTGCCAATCCTCCTCTTTTTGCTTTTTGCTGAAGAAGACTGGCCCCGAGCTAACATCTCTGGCTGTCTTCCTCTATGTTTTATATGTGGGACACCTGCCATAGCATGGCTTGATGAGCAGTGTGGAGGTCCATGCCCTGGATCTGAACTGGTGAACCCTGGGCCACCAAAGCAGAGCCTGCAAACTTAACTGCTCTACCACTGGGCTGGCCCCATTTCATAATTTTCTTGACCGTTTGAATCAGGTTCCAAATGCTATTCATACGCTGTGACTTGTTTTAGTCTATAGGTTCCCCCTCCATCTTTTATGTCTTGTAACTTATTTGTTGCTGAAACTTGATAGTTTGTGCTGTGGAATTACAAGCGGTCTGGATTTTGGTCTATATTGTAGTTTACACAGAATTTACTGTAAATTTAATCTAATTTAGTTAGATCTAAAGGTGTAGTCAGTTTCAGATTTCATTAATTTTTGGCAAGAAGACTTTATAGGTTAGTAGACAGATAAGGATTAGTTAGTAGTCTTGTTATCATTGCTTGATGCTCAGTGCTTAGAGTCATTATTTCATTAGGCATTGAAAAATGATATTTTAGTTATAACTTCATCATTTATTAGCTGGAATACCTCCATAAAGATAAATTTCCCCTCTTGCATAATTTGGTTACCATGAATTATAGCTCTTTTAGGAAAGGCAGGATAAATGCTTAATTCCTCTCCATTATTTACTAGTTTTCAAAATAATTAGTTGGCATCCTCCAAAAGTAGCCAGTGAGTTGTGTATGTGTGTTTGTGTCATTGTGAACTCGTGGATTTAAACATATTTGGTATGGTTCAATCCATTGTAGATACTATCCTTTTTGATGCTTGGATTGTCCCATCTTTGTCTAATAGGAATCTGCTAAAATTGACTCCGAAATCCTTTAGACACAACTCTAATAGTCTTTAATTGCTCTTCTTTCTGGTATGACAAACTGCACCAGGCTTGTCTTGTACATATTTTGTCCCAGCCCTGGAATTGTCTATTTCTCCAAGGGGCCTTGGATTCTTTTAATGAAATAGTATTTAGTAACCACATTCTGGGCCCTGGGGTTGTTCATTGCTACTAGGTTGATCGTTGTTGCTAGGTCTTTTTAGTGCACAGATCTTGGGTTACTGATACTTCCAGTTGTAAAGCAAGATGACAGAGTTCTATCTAACCTTCTTGATCTTACACCTGTATCATTTTTCTAAGACAAACATCTTGATTCTAATTACTCATTATTTTCCCCCACACTGTACACTTGTCAGTCTCAGATGAATAACATGAACATTACCACCAACAAATAAGAAGTGTTTAAGAATTTTTTTACGTCCTTTTAGGGGTATGTAGTCAAATTACTGTATTGAGGTCAATTAAAATAGTTACTCTAAGTTTTTGCCACCACTGGCTGTATAGTTTGGGTCTTCTCTTTTTATTTTGCTTTCACTATTTAGGGATTGCTTCTTGAAAATGTAATTTTGCTTTATAATTATGTAAAATACTAATAAGGCTTTTCAAAACCAAGCATATAAAACAGGATGTATTCAAAGAAGTTTTGCTTCTTTATGTTGCCATCCTCTTCACGCTGTTCCTTCTTTTCCCAGATAACTGTTTTTTTGTTTTTTTGTTTACTTTTTAACCCCCTTCACTCATTTATCTCCCTCCCACCCCCAGCATTTAAGTGAGACCATACGGTGTTTGTCTTCTTCTGTCTGACTTATTTTACTTAGTAAAATATCCTCAATGTCCATCTATGGTGCAAATGGCAGGATTTCCTTTTTTTTTTTTTTTCTGGGGAAGATTAGCCCTGGGCTAACTGCTGCCAATCCTCCTGTTTTTGCTGGGGAATACTGGCCGTGAGCTAACATCCATGCCTATCTTCCTCCACTTTATACGTGGGACGCCTACCACAGCATGGCTTTTGCCAAACTGTGCCATGTCCGCACCTGGGATCCGAACCGGCGAACCCCTGGCCGCCGAAGCGGAACATGCGCACTTAACCTCTGTGCCGCTGGGCTGGCCCCTACTGAGAAGACTTTAGCTTTATCTGTTATGTTGTGGTCAACAGTACTGGTGTTAAAGATTTCAGTTTTGCATTTTTCTTTTTTTAAACAGCTGTTGTTTCAGCCCTTCAACTGCAGTAATACAGTTTTGGGTTGGTTTCAGAAACGCCATTTCTGGGATAAAATCATTTAATTCATATTGATACTGTAAGTTTGTTATTGTTAAATTGTTAACATCACAGTTTGGTAATTTGCTTTCTCTCTTGTTACCTATTATTCTCTCACTCATTATCTATCTGCATATTCACTGAACTCTGAGTATTTAAGCTTTAAAGTCTAAAACATTAGACCTGTAGATTCTAAGTGTGTGAAAAATAGTACCTGTAGCTATAGTCCCTAATGCTGTCTTGATAACATCAGTTTTGTGAGTTCTACCTTCAGAATACATCCCGACCCAGTCCTTCTGTCCCATCTCCACCGTCACCTCCTGGGTCTCAGCAGCTGTCACATCTCCCTTGGACTGCTACAGCAGCCTCCAGCTGGTCTCCCTGAGTCCTTTCTTCCCACCCATTCTCCACCCATCAGCTAGGGTGATTTATGCAAAATATAAATTAGATTGTGTTCTGTCTTGTTAAAACCTTTCAAATACTGATAAAGTGGTTGCCTCTAGGGAATTGTGTAGCTGTTGGACAGGGGTGGGAGAGAGACTTACTTTTCACTGTATAACCTTACATACCTTTTGAATTTCGATTCATGTAATTGGATTATGTACTCAGAATAAAATAA